CCGTCTCCAACAAAGAAGAGTGATTAAAATGTAACATTTTTACATTTTGTTGAATGTGTATAATTCTTAATAACTAGATTTAAGGTGTTCACATGATGATATGTCATTATTAAACCTCTACAATTATATTATGCTCTATCCGCAATACAATGGCAATATAAGCATGTATTTATATTTTTATGATTTTTTTTTTACTCTTTCCATAGTGTTGCTATCTCACTCGTATCGCACATGTTCTCATATAAATGTTTTTATTTTTTTTTATTGACAATCTTTATTTTTAGAAGTCAAGTATAGTACTCTTACATATGAAATAGAATACATGTATCACATATATCATTTTCTGTATATGTCAGACACTGGAACAAGGCTGGGCTTTCAGTTTAAAAAATATAAACAGTACTACCAATTCGTGCAAAAGCCCTTTGTTTTGGGAGATGAGCTGAACTCTAAGCATATCTAATAGATACGTGAAGGAGCAGGGCCTCTTTAATTTTGAATGTTCTAGGAGAGGACTAAGTATACAAGCTAGCTTATGTCTGCCTGTGAGTAATGTACTCTAGTTATGGTCTCCATATCCCTGTGCATTGCTCTGATGTGTCTTTTAATGCCGCCACTGTCGACTCCATCAGATACATTTCCTACAATCTAGGCACCGAATGCTGGAGAGTGGGCACAGATTGTTTTTTCCACATAGTGGGAATAATGGATTTGCTGCTGTTAATAGATGCTTGATAAGAGATTTCTTATAGAGTCATATGGTTGTGGTGTAATAATATAAGTATGGGCTAAAAGGTGGAGGGGGGTTATGTATGTAAGAGCCCCGTTATAACTACAAGAGTAGAATAGTACAGTTGGATTTGAAAGTACCAGAAGGTATCAATATCGTTGAAGTTCAAATCTGCTACAGTGTTTTAAGACACTTAAGTGCCCCGAGCACAATTGTTGCAAATAAATCCAATTGCCTTTACATATCCTTAATGCTGCTGCTGAGAGCTAGCCTTCTCAGAGTTTATGATTGCGAGTCACAGGCGTCAATAGGCCTGGAATCATGCAGTGGCAACCAAGTTGACAGCCAAACTGCTAGGGAAGTGCCATTGAGTGGTGTTGCAATAACTGGGCGCATATATCAGTACCATCTGGCCACAATTGACCTGGCAAACTGTCCCTCATAACTGAGTGTTCCAGTTGCAACCATAGATAGGTTAGAGAGTTTTTCCACTGCCAATTCAAGACCTGTAAATGGGTTACCTCATAATAATTCAACAGCCCTCCACGTTGCTTAGGTAGGGTAAGTTGTGAGGTGTTCACCCATATACCCCTTCCCTTCTATACAAATGTAAGAAGTGCTGAGAAAAGTTATTTAAAATATGCCACCGGTAGCTTGATCGGGATGTCAAGATGAGTACTTTATAAAGATTCCAACTTTACAATATACTCATTGGTTTTTTTTTGGGGGGGGGGGGAGGTGGACAGTGCCGCTTTAAATAGTGTCTAATGAGTTCAAGTGTTATGGATCATAGAAAATAGTCCTTGTAAGCCAGTACTTCAAAGCAAGATAACTTTTAATAAGAACATGTGTGTTGGTTATCTTGGCTATAAAAACTTGACTACTTTAAAAGTGTACACGGAGAATATAATGGATTTTGGTGGATTTGGTGTTAAATGATATAACCATAATGAATAAACCACTACGGTAGCATTCCTGTTCCCATACTCAGGTTTGCTAGAAGCCATTTATATTGCGTTACTGAAATATATTGCCATCTCAACCAAAATGACAATTTTACATAGACTACCAACAGAGAGCAGTAGGTTGTATTCCAATGTAAACCAAATGCAACACATTTTCAATACTGCTTCATAGTAATGAGTCACTTTGTACTACGGTTTCTCAGAATCCAGTTACATTCCATGGTTATCCGAACATACTGTTTCCTGCTCTAGTCAATGAAAATTTTACTGCCTTCAATGCCAAGATCCTCACTTGTTGACTCATATATTCTCACAATCATTATAGTATTACCAGTTTTACAGATGATTTATATATCACAATGAAATGTTCTCTTCCAGCAACAAAGAGAATCAACCCTTTCAAATTAGCATTTAAAAAATTCTCACAACATATATTTGTTTGACATAAAATGTGCTGGAAGAAAAATATTTGTAGTGCTTAATGCATCCTACCTTGTCTCTTATATTTACATAATTCTAGATTAGATCCCATTTGAAAACTGAGTGTACAAAATAATTTTTTTTTTTTTTAAATGTATGCATATAGGAGTTCAGAAAAAAAATACAGTTTACTAGCATTTACTGTAGAAAATGTGACAAAGCAATTCCTATTTTAAGAGCATAGCAGACAGGGCTTGTATATGCACTTGACGATGCATAATGTAAGTGAAGTGACAGTGTGAACATAAAGCAGATATGCTAAAATATTGAGAAAATACAATATGTCTGAGTCAGTGCAAATTGGTTATCTCAGGGTTCTAAAGGTATAGCCCTCATTCAGTTATACAGGCATTTGTTTTCAATTCAAAAACTGATAATTTCAGGTTTTATTTGTTATACTATGAATGGTGGTGCACTGACAAGTGAACCACTGAATTTAGGCCAAAGTAGCCATTGAGAAAAAATGTTTCGCTTTGGTAGCACATTTGCGCTGAGCAGTCCACTGTTTGGCCTAGTAGATGATTGTCAATTTTTGATACATAGGTATAAATAAGTGTAATAATTGCATTAATTTAAATTCGGAGATGAGGTTTGCTTGGCGCTTGCTTTTTAGGGAAGTTATTTTATACAATACTACGTATAAATGTGGGATTATAAATAATAGCTGGTTGATATTAGAAAAGCATATTTGCCATTTTGAAAAGAAGAAAACATATTTTTCCATTCTTGTAGAAACTGTTTGTGATTTTTTTTTTTTTGTATCAATAGCAGCAACATGAACACTTGAAAGGAAGACTTGGGTCTTTTTCACCCTATATGATTATTATATCAGGCTCGTGGTTGGTTTTAGGTATGAGGAATGAGTCCCGGGCCATGTTAAAGGTGATAAAAATGATGCTAGTAAAATGCGTGTGACATATGTCTGGGTGGCATGGAGTGTAAGCAGTTCAAACAAGTGATTCCACTATACCATTCTACTACATAAATATATTATCACACCGACTGGATTGATTTCATCTGTATAGAGCTGACTTTCATGGATTATTAATAATCTTGTAGTGCTGAATCTGTTGCTTCTCTTGCAGAGGAGATTAGTGAAGATTTACAAAACACTGCTGACAGACTAGTTTGTTTGATATTTTAATGTGCGATTTAAAAAAATATATATAATAAAAATAAAGAGATTAAATAAAATTAAGCTAAACACTCTCTGTCTACCCAGTTGAGGTTGTAGACCACCATCAGGGAGGAGGCGTGGACTGTTGCACTCATTTTGACTTTGAGTCAAGGCAGAGGACCAGTGCTGGACCAGTAAAGGTATTGTTCCAGCACTCCAAGAAAGGTAGAGATATTGATGTTCTAAGTAGCTGTTTGTCCAATGAAAAACATAACGTATGAGAACATTCTAACATTTCATAAATAATAGATACAAAAGTATGAAATGTTAAATGGTTAGTTTCAAAGTCATTTTGCGGTTTTGTTTTTCTATTGGTGATTATTTGTTATAAAAAAATAATAATTTTTAAGTGGAAGCATGCTGGAATTTGTGGAATTGGGGGCATCCTGGAACATGTAAGTGAAACTAATTAGAAAAATCAGCAGGGATTTAATCACTGCAATGGGCATTTTATGCCTTTTTAAAAAACATTTATTGAAACGCAACACCTCATTCTGCAAAAGATATGATCAGACATAACGGATGATACTTGTGAAGAACAAAGTTCTGGGGGCAAAGTTAAAAAAGAAGCACAATCAACAGGAGCAATTTATTGGTTTCCATGGCAACTGCTCCACGTTCAAATCTTGATACCATAATTTATACAAATTCCATAATTTATACAAATTCCCCAAACTGTCCAATACAATTTACCTACTATCTAATTGTAACAGCTCAATGCTATTGATCCAGAGGAAGTACATGTCATGCAATAAAGCACACATACTCTGAAGCAAGCACAGATAATGATGAAAATGAAATTTCAAAACAGGTGTTCAATCAAGTACAATTTAGCCTCCAGAGCCTTATCACAAAAGGTTCTAATTTTAAATGGTGGGTAAAATGCACTTTAACCTCTGCAGAAAAACGATAAGAGTAATATTGATGTATTATGAAGATTTAAATTACACCTTGCATCATTTCTGTAAATGGGGTGTCAGAAAGAAAGAATTAAACAAGCATAACGAGTACTAAGCAAACCAACACATCCCCCACATCCATTCCAATTGTGCATGTTTGGGATCTATTTGAAGACTTTTTATGAGAAACTGGAAGACTGTACAGCGAATATAAACACTTAACTGTGCAAAGACCATACTTCTTACAATGGCTCAGAGCCCAAGCCATGGCAGGGGATACATGTGAGATTCTTTTCATGCAAAAAAACAGTCTCCACTTACAAGGCCTCACAAAAATAAATGTTGGATGACAGACCATTTTCTGGAGTTAAATACATAAAGACACCTGAGTATTGTGGTATCACCATTGTTGTACTCAATCATATGCAGCATAAATCAGGCTGCCAAACATCTCATAATCTTGTTTCTTTAATATGATCACATTTTCTTCCTTATATTCTCCCTCAAGGTTAAAAAGAACGGGTATTAGTCCTTCACATATTATCCCTATGAAACTTAAAGTAACATTTGTACTTTTATTTCTACAACTCAATTCCCAAGTGGTAGCTATCCTACTTTAAACAAGGCAGTTGTTCTTTTAAGTGCCAATGCACTATGAAAGATGGTACCCAAGCCCTATATACTTATGCCCCGACATGACCGTGCACTGAAGCTCTCTAGAGTTGCTTCTAAGCTGTACTGTTATTTTATTACCTGAAGTCACTGTATGGATGAATAATCCAAAACCCCGCAGACTTCACTCGATCCTGTTCCCTTTCTACTGCTTTCTGACTGCCAAACATCCGCAAGGAGAACTTGTTCACCCCAGGCTGCAAAAGTGCCCCAAACTGTCTGTGCATAAAACTGTTCTGGTCATCATCCCCTCCGGACAAAGTCTGCTCTCTTCCCTCCACCTTTACCGAACTGCTATGCTGGTCACTGATCCAAGGTTGGGCGTCTGCCTGAGCTGTTTGGGAGCGGCCTACGCCTGGATCACCTGGAGTTGGATCCAAGGTAGGAGACTTCTCTTCAGTGGGGCTAATGTCCCCCTCAGATATAAGCCTTCTTCCTTCACTGGGATCGGAATCATGAAGGTGCCTGCCACAGCTGGCAATGGAGGACAGACTGCCAGTAAACCTCCTGCAGTCTCCATTGCTACTTGTTCTATGAGCTTTTCCCACCTCAGTTTCCATAACTAGGTGAGAATCCTTAAATGCAGGTCGAGGGTCAAGGCGCCTTAGAGCAGAAGGTGAGGGTAATGGTTTGAGCTTAATACTCCTTTTCCAGGTGTCCCTCTCTTCACCTTCTTCTTCATCCATTATAGAAGCTTTGGATCCAATGTGTTGAGGGAGACTATACAGACGCTTCCTCATAGAGGGGTGCAGTCTATCCATTGTTTGCCAGGAGACTCCCCTCACTGAGGGGTTTCGTGTTCTTGGCTGGTATCAGCCCCAATGTACCACAACTGGGCGCATGATAGCACCTTCTAGTCCCTCACGCACACATTGGCTGAGAAGTCTGTGTCTCTGAAGCATCAGCAAACACAGCAGCATTCTGACAGCGCTGAAGGTGCCAGGAGGAGTCTGTGGTCCATGTTTGTCTGTCTCCTGTCAGATCTCAGGCACTGAGATGATGAGGACTTTGCAGGAGAGAATGAAATGCAACAGACAGGCAGAACAGTTCAGTCAGCAGCCGGCCAGGGGAGGGACTGGACTAGGGCTGCCCAGAAGAACAAAAGGAACAAATCACAATAAAATGAGAAAAAGAGAATACCCTCCCTCTTTTCCTCCCTCCCTGTCTCCTTGACTCTGGCTGCAGCCCATACTAAGCAGCCTGAGAGAAGCTGCAGCATCAGAGGCTGCTGACATCAGACTGATCACTTATTCCTCACGCAGCCCTGCTACTGGCAATATTCATGAAGCTATCTGATCTATTGTGTTGCCATAGGAGCATAGACTGCACACTAGCTCTATATCTTTGAGCCCGATGTCCAGGTCTTTAACCCCTTTTTAAGCAAGCTTTTGACCTCCCTGGCAATGATATGGTGTGAAGTAATATATTTAATGTTACCTATTAATCATGGGTGTGTAGTTTGAAGGCTAATCCTTATGTCTCCTATATGGCAATGTATTTAGTGAATATATATATATATATTTAAATGTCTGTATATGTATTTACTTTTTATTTTGTTACTGTAAAGAGAAAGGGTATCACTCATAGAAAACAAGTTGTATATTCTTTAACACTAAAAATGCCATCCAAAGACATAAACTTGGTATTTTGTTACATCATACAATATATTTTTTTTTAGAGCTCTATCGCACAGGAAGTTCAAAGTGAACTGCCACTGGTCATATAATTGAAATGCTAATCTATATCCAATGAAGGCAGTTACAAATCTTACATTTACTAGTTAAACTGACACATTCCTGTAATTCTACTTCATATAAAAGTGAGATTATTCTAAGAATTTACCAAACTACATATGAATTGACATAATTGTAGTAGTGACAGCAGTCGTGAAATACTATTCCAAGCCTACTGGACTCCTCTATGGGTTAAGGAAAACACTTTATCTCTCTGTGCTGAGTGTGAACTCTAAAGCAACGGAACAGTGTGAGGACTGATGATTCTAAAGTTTAATAACTTGTGCTATGTGACATTTGTCACTTAAATTATGCCATCACAGATAAGAAATAGCAGAAATTTTAATTCCTTCCTAATATTAAAACTATTATAACTATGATTTATAAATGCTGCAGCGATGTACGATAGGAGGACTAACAAACACGTAGTAGCAACAAGACATGCTAGACGTACAGAGACAGAAGGTGTAGATGGCCCTGCTTAAACGAGCTTACATTCTAAAGGGAGTGGGCTAAAATGACAAAAGAGGCAAAGATTAGATGTATCTAGTGTAATGGAAAAGTAGGTTGCTAGTAGAGGTTACATTGAAGGCTTAGTTTATTAGATGAGGTAGTTGCAGAAAAAAAAGGTGGGATAGTGAGGTGTGGGGAGGAACAGCTGTTAACAGTTTAATTATTATGACTTCTCGAAGAAGTGAGTAAAAGTGTTTTTTTTTCTTTATGGTAAGAGTCTAATGGAGCGGGGAAGGGAAATCCAAAGGATGTGTGCAGCCTCTAAAGAAGTCTTGAAGGTGTGAGTATGAACAAACACACGTCAGAGTGTAGAGGACATACTTGTATATTAGTGAGGATAGGTAGATAGGAGCAATGTTATAAAGAGATTTGTAAGCAAGAACCAGAAAAATAAATTGAGCCCTATATCTTACGAGAAACCAAGGTAAGGATTGACAGAGGGGGAGGCATGTAAGGACAGAAAGAAGAGCTTTGCTGCAGCATTCATTATAAATTGTAGCGGGGTGAAGTGGGGGCATGTAAGACCAGTGAGAAGTGAATTGCAGTAGTCAAGGCGAGAGATGATAGCGGCATGGACAAGCACCTTAGCTGCATCCGGTGTTGGGTAGTTGCGGATGCAAGCTATGTTTTTGAGATGGAAGCTACAGATTTTGGTGACTGACTGGATTTGAGACCTGATGGAGAGGTTGAAATCAAGAATAATGCTAAGGCAACAAGCCTGTGAGGTGGAGCTGATAGTAGTGCCATTGACTTGGATGCAGAATGCCGTACCAACTAAGGAGAATTGTGCTGTCGATCTACCAAAAAGGCCATAAGCCTTAATAGGACACTGCAGGCAATATACTCATTTAATGTCATTGAATAGGTTACAGTGCCTGGAGTACCCTGACACTGTCCCTCCATTCAACATTTTCTTTTTTATTTTATTTGTTATTTAGAACACTAAGGCCTTCTAGCCATACCAATTTATCCCACCAATGGGCACTGTGATATGCTGTAAGTGGTGAGTTGGTAATCTCAGCTAATTAGAGCTGGCCACTGCTGCACAGGCTAATGCTTCTTCGTTAGTCCAAGCAGCACAGAGGGGATGGGATGCCAGGTGCTCTTGTTTAGCGCTAAAACATAAAAAATTGTTGAATGTCAAATGGAAGGACAGTGCCAGGCCTATAACCACATCAGTAGATGAAGCATTTACAGTCGAATGCTGCTTAAAAGGACGCCATAGGCACCCAGACCACTTCAGCTCATTGAAGTGGTCTGGGTGCATTGTCCCATGTCCCTTAACCCTACATTGGTAATTATTGCAGTTTCTGAGAAACTGCAATAATTACCTCTGAGGGTTGACTCCTCCTTTAGTGACTGTCTACCAGACAACCACCAGAAGGACTTCCGGAATCGAAATGGACCTTTGGTCCGTTATCTGACGCTGTACGCTTTGCATGAGGTCTTCCAGCACCAGATTTTCCCCAATAGAAAAGCAATGAATAATGCTTTCCTATGGGGAAATCCTAATGCAAGCGCAGCCATTGCCGCGCATGCATTAGGTCTCCCCCGCTGGCTGATGTCGGCGGGGGAGGAGCGTGGGTGGGTTGGGTTTGTTTTCCTGGCACTATAGAATTCCTTTAAGTCACATGTGCTGGGGCTGCAACCAGTTCCTGACAGCAAATATCTCTGGTTGTGTTGTGTTTCAAGTAGAAATTCTGCACGTACACACACACCTACCACCATGACAAAAGTAGAAGTAAAAGTCATGGTAGTTTGAGAAATCCTTTAATTAGAAAAGGAGGAGACCATTACTGACTCAATTACTATTCATTAATGCCTTGTCTCTGTTTGCAGAAAATGATGGATGCTGATTATGAATATTGTTTCTGTTAATAATTAAACTTGTGTTTCTTTTAATCTATTTTTCTCCATAATGCATGAAAATGGTTGAGCTGAAAGTATCCGATTAACTATATTTTGTTACTGTAAATGATAGTATAAACCTAGATATATTTTTATTTGGGTCTAAACAAAGAACTCGACAACATTGTAATATCTTTCTCTTTATATCTATCTATATCAAAAGGTTAATGGATTCACACATTCAGTCCTCATGAGCACAGGATGTGTCAGGATGTGTTTTTTTCTGTATGATTACAGAGCTGTTCATTAATAAGCTGAAGAGTTGTTGCAGTTATTATAAAAACTCAAGATAGTAAGTACAAAATCCTCTGTAGTCATATCAGCTGCTTGAGACCACTAGTGAAATGATGATAAAAAATAATAGCACTATCAACTATTTCTTCTAAATTCATCCTACTCAGCTGGAAAATCACAACGTTTATGCTACTTACGTACATAAATAGGTAATGGTACAGATATCAGAAACACTAACTATATATTAACTGGAGAAACCCCATAAGTGTAGGTCTACAACTGGTCTCTAGAATGGCTTCAATGCTTCTGGGGGTGAATCTATGTACATTATGGATGGAATAGTGTGGGATACTTGCCACGCATCAAGTAGAAAAGCCTCCATATACGTGAAAGATTACAGATGTGGAAACTTCACACTTTGCGGAAAGCCTGAGGTTGACAAAAAAGGGAGCTTCTCTCAATTCCAAGTAGCAGTCACCAGTGGGAAAAGGCAGCTGATTGTGCATTGGTGAGTAGTGTCGAGATAAATGCATAAGTCAATGTGTTTTGATGATGCCATAGATTCAATCTTGTTGGTGACCTCTAGAAAATCCCCTGAAATAGAAAAATAAAGCAGCATATACATCCCATTGCACTTACGTCGTTACTTCCTAAAGTGAGATTTGTTGAGAATTCAAAGTAAATTACAAATTAAAGGCCAAAGTAGCTGGACTTGAAAAATTCTTCCAGTCAGCTATGCTTCCAGTTCGGATACTTAAACAGACCTTAAAGGGGCACTATAGTCACCCAGATCACTTCAGCTCATTGAAGTTGTCTGGGTGCAATGTCCCTGTCCCCCTTGGTCCTGCAATGTAAAACATTGCCGTTTTTGTGAAACTAAAATAATGACATTGCAGTCCTAAGAGTTCCTCTAGTGGCTGTCAATCAGACAACCACTGTTGGCGCTTCCTGGTTGCTAATGTACCTTTGGTCGCCTAGCTGATGCTGGACATCCTCACAGTCTGCATGAGGACATCCAGCGTCAGTAACACCCCCACAGGAAAGCATTGAAGCTCACCGTGCATGCGCGTTAGAACCCTTGTCGGATGACATGGATTGCCGACCCAGTGCCGCTGGTGCGGGAATCAGATAAATGACTAAAGTGAGTGTATTCCTAATCCCTTTAAATGTGAAACTCCCTTTGATATCCTGACAATTCTCATTTTAGTAAATAACCATATATGTGTCAAGTGTAACTTAATGGTTTAAAGCAATTTACAACTCCTTTACTCAGAAAACTGGCCATATACCTGACTACCCTTTATTATAGGGATAGTATCAACTATAATCAGAGCTGTCAAACAAAAAGTTGATTGGTGTTACATATAAAAGAC